GCAGGCCTGCGAACGATGATCAAAGGAGTTAGATTGTTCCTCAGGAAAAAATAAGACTACACTGACAAGATAAGGAAAAAGGAAGCGGATACTTACAGTGAGCGAGGAGCGGAGGATCCTGTTCTCGAGGGCATCGTCATCGTAGGTCTCGAAGACTTCCCTGTCCATCTTCGAGGTGATGCCCCGCAGGAAGGCCTTCGGCTCGGCAGTGCCGTGCATCAACGAAGCGCCGGGGGCAAAGGAGAGCTGACGGATCTCCCGGGGTGATTCCGCCCGGGGGGGATTCACCGGATCCTTCGGGGGGACCGAGGCCAGAGGCTCATCAACGGCGGGCATGTCATCAATGACTATAAGGGGGGCCGCCTCCCCGACAGCACCCCCGGCGCCTTTCTGCTTCTTGGTAGGGGGCTCCACCCCCTTGTCGCCCCTCTTCTTCTTAGCGGCTGCCTCGGCCTTCGACCTCCCGGTCCCCACAGCAGCATGGGCGTCCCCGGCGGAAGGCTCCATGGCCTTCGGGAAAAGCGCGTCAACTGGCTTCTGGCTCGAGGACCCCTTCTCCTTTTGCTGGGTCTTGCCCTTCCTCTTCGCGAACAAGGCGTTGGCATTCATCCTGCTACCTGCAAAGAACGACAGCAACAAGTTGAAAGGTTAGAACCGAAAGGGTCAATAACATGACAACAAACATAACAAAAAATCTCTAAGTACGAAAAGTAAAGCCCCCGGCCACTACCTCCTGCTCCCACGAAGGCTTTATCGTAGAAGGGATATTTCTCGTCGGTCTCCCCAATGAACCGATACCTCAGGAATCCGAGGGCATACAGGTCCTCCTCGAGGGTGCACTCCTTGATGGTTACGTTCTTTTCCCGACCCTCGGGAATCTTTGTAATCTTCAGGCCATCCTTCTCGAGGGCGGCACTCTTGGCCTTCACATGGCGCCGAAAGCGATTCCGCAACTCCCTCGGGAACGGGCTGTCGGCCAGTCTGATGTAGCACCATCGCTCTCTCCACCCCTTGTTGGAAGAAGGGGCCTCAGTGAACAGCTTGAACTGAGCTATCTGCTGTAAGTTCGCATAGCCCTCGGCATTTGTATGTCCCCCCCGGCATAGGTTGAAGCTTTGGAAGAATAACTCCAGGCTCGGGGTAACCTTCCAGAGTTTGCACAGGTTCACAAACCCCGTTATGTACGAGTGGCTGTTGGGAGTCAGTTGGCAGGGGGCCAGGCCGGTGTACCTCAGGTACTCCCGGAGGAACGGATGGAGAGGGAACCGGAGGCCCATTGAGACCGAAAGCACGTGCACGGCTATACATCCCTCGGGGGGCCGCGACAGCACGTCATCGGGACCTGGCTCGACTACCACGGCCGAGGGCCCTACATGCAATTGGGTGATATAGATGTCCGCCCTGTCAGCTTGGGACTTGATCTCCAGAGCGGCGGTGTCCAGGAAGGAGTAACCCTCCGGTAGATCAACTGGCCCCCCTGATCGACGGTCTTTGCTTTCTTCTGAGGGGCGGCCTTCGTCTTTCTCTTCTTCATCCCGGGGGCCACCCGGAGGGGAACTGCGTTCAGCGGCCGGGAGGTACTGGCCTCACCAGCACCCCGAGGGGGAAGGACGGCCACAGTGACCTTCGCCCTCTCCTTCTCCTCCTCCTCTTCAGCAACTTGGACGGCGAGGGCCAACTCTTCATCCTCGGCAGTTCGCTCGAATTCCTCCGCCTCGGCCTCAGCCGTCAGATCCTTCTGCACCTCAGTGGCGAGGGCTGCATCACCACAATCCGAGGGCTGACCACTGCTTGACTCCACATCGGAGATGCCTTCGTCCTCCATCGAGGGCGTCCTCGAGATGTCCTGAGAGTCACTCTGGGACGACATTCGCACCCTAGTTCGAGGGTTCGTAGACGGTAGTGTTTCCTAACTTTTCTATCTCCTAAACTAAGGGCACAGTACAGCTATGCTAGAAGGAGAAAGGCAGGGAGCACTGACCTCGAAAGCTGAGTTAGGACCGAAGGCAGCTGTTTCTCTCTCTAGAAAAATTGGCAGAGCTTCGCTAACAGGTTTTTCGCACACGGAGGAATGCCTGGCCTTGGGGTATTTATAGGCGATAGAATCCGGGCTTGGGCCTGGATTCCGGGCCTCCAGATGGACGCCATCATTACGCACCGTCGTTTCACCCAACCGGTGACGCCGCCCACGAACAGCCAGCCATCACACGCCACGTGTGCCATTCCCCCAACGGCTATATCCTGTCGTTACGTATTCCAACGGCTATATTTCCAACGGCTATATTCTGGAAGCCCCCGGGTTTTCTACTTCACTCCACTTCATCAAGGATTGCCTCCGGGTACACTCACCCAGAAGTGCCCCCGGGTTGTGCCCCACACAGCACATTACACACGCCTTCGGGATCACTCCTTCAGATCCCCAGGGCTGCATATCAGGGGCACCCCTCGGGGTTTCCCCCTCAGCACTGCAAAACCGGGTAGCCCCCGGGGAGTGCCTCATTGACGGAGGGCCCATGGCACACAGGTAATGGGAGCCCTCGGGTATCTTCATCACCAAACAGTGGACCCCCCGGTAACAACTTCACTGCTGCCCTCATCTGGCAGGCCCTCGATCCCTGGATTGAGGGGCTCCCCTTCGGCACCACCAGGACATCAACAGCAAGCCTTCGGCAAATCAACACAGGAGCCCTCAGAAGATAGAGCCTTCGGCATTCCCGTCATTCTCCATTTTTCACCGAGGTTTGACATTTTCGATTCATCATTGGGGGAATTCGGTGCACTCTTTTTCCCTCATTAGGATTTTTTCCCAAAGGGTTTTTCCTAATGAGGTTTTTAACGAGGCATCCCCCCAAAATGAAACGAAAAGCGTCAGCCTTCGGTCCACAACAGCAACGTAACTGCTTTACTCCTTTTCACCACTTTGCAAATGCCTCAAGGAGTGGGGGACTGGAGGACCCCTTCGGGAAAATCATTAAATTACAACAAAGCAAGCCCTCAAGTCCCGACATGTGGGTAACTGAGGGACTGCCTTCGGCAGGGACGTAAAAGCAACAACTCCTCACCAACTTCAGAGATCACAACGGGACAACATCAAAGGGCAAGCACAAATTACTCCTTTTCCCTCAAGTACCTTTCGGCAAAAGGAGTGAGGGACTCCTGATGGAGTATATGGCCCGGGAACCCCCGGCCCACAGACTCCTACTACTCCAGCAAAGGCACAACAGGCCCAACAGGCCCAACATGCCCAAATCACAGCGCCCAGAGTACCAAGCAGTCCGCACAACGCACAGGGGTGCCTTCGGACCCCTGGCCGAAGGCTCCAAATTGTCACAGAGCGGGTTTCTCAAGCAAATTAGGAAACTGGGAGAAAATGGCGAAAACAGCAGCCCTCGGCACTGTGAGCCCTCGGCACCAGGGTGCCATCGAGCGGGAGAGCCCTCGGTTACTGCTCTATAGCCGAAGGCATCTCACTCGACAAGATATCTGCCTCACATGCGTACAGATCACCGTACCCCGCACAGATGTCCCGTCCAACAGCCGCATTAAATGCGGCCACATGCGGCTGCCAGCGCCAACCAGTTGAGGTGACCCCTCGGCCAATGAGCGCTTGACACGTGTCCCTGCCCGGCATTTATTGCTACTATAAATAGCACCCCATTTCCCCATTTGTAACAACGCTTAATACATATCGAATATACACTCTCTCTCTTACTTGTTTGCTCTGACTTCTCTCTAAGTTATTCCCCGTAATAACCCTTCGGATATATACCCCCGGGTAGACTATCCATCAAATAGTATTATCTCCGTAACATTTATATCTTCCAATTTAAAAGTAGATAAGATTAAGAATAGTGCAAGAGAATATAAATTATTGAGGGTATGATAGAAATATTTAGAAATGAGAAGAAATAAATGTTATAACTAAAAAGGGAAAGTGAGAAAATATGAATGTTACGGTGGTGGATATTGCTCAAGCTAGTATTTGCCAGAGCCCAGAAGCATAGCACTACTCAAAGTTTATGACGTGGATATCAAAACAAGTCTATTTATTATTTTTAATTACTAAATCCTTTTTTTTAATATTATATCTTTTATTCCATCCTGAATTTTAATTCATTCCGTATTATTTTAAGTTGAAATAAAAATGTTAATTTTGAGCGTTGATAGAATCTATCTATATCTCTAAGCTCATTTCGGCTAATTAGTTTTTTCAAGCCAAAGGATGAGTAATGTTCCAAAGATAAGCTATTAACTCAAAATTGCAAGCAAGTCTCCAAACGAAATATAATGTATTTTTCAAGCAGCGTACTGAATGACTGTAAAACTGAAAATGTTTTAACTACACAGAGAAGAACAAAGTAAGACAAGGGTATGTTTGGTAACCCTATTTCAGTTTATTATTAGTCTTCTAATAAACTTTTTTATCAAACACGTAATCTTGATTTCACACGTTGAATTGTGTAAATTAAAACAAGAAAGTTAGAATTACTTTTGTTGACCGAAGTTACTGAAGATAATCATTTTAACTATTTTCATTTAATTATTTATTTTATTAATTTTATTAATTCATCAAATTCAACCAATTAAATCATCATTACATGGTAGATTCAGTCCATTTAAAAAATGATAAGCACGTTCTATGTACTCAGTCAATGACGAATCCAGAGATTTGTGAGAGCGGAACACACTAGACACTAAACTTAGTCTGTAATAAAAAATTCGAGTTCGAAGCAGGACACTGATTTTTACTTTAAATGCTACTAGTGAATTTTCGAGCCCGAAGCGGGGCACGTGCCCCCCTAGCCCCTTAGGTCCTCCACTGTACTCAGTATAACACATTATTGATGTAAACATTGTAAAGTCAATAAAAGATAGAGTGATAAAAAAAGATTTTACTTTTGAGATAAAAATAAAATGTTTCTTTGTACGTAGCTCGGGACTTGCGAGTAGGAGAGGGAAAGATAACGTCAGAGATAAAAGGAAAGCAATGGTGGGGAGGGAAAAAAAAAAGATTACTACAGAGCGAGAGGATATCCTCCCCTCCTTATCCACATGTGTACCCTCCCCTCTTCTCTCCATCTCTCATCATTTTCTCTTTCTACACTTATTTCTTCAATCCTCACACATGCATGCCTTGTTTTCAAAATTGGATTTTTCTTGATTTTTAACAAGAAAAGCCATTGATACAGCGACAGGAATACCGGGTTCTTCATTGTTCAGACCTACCTTTATTTTAGCAAGAATTGAACCCCTCTCCCCATGTGTTTTCTTTATTATTTTCTTAGTTTTTTTTTTAATTTTTTTAAACAAGAAGAATTGTCTGTTAGGGTGAAGCCAAAGGAGGGAAGGAGGTGAGGATTTCTAGGGGTTTAATGCAATCAAGGAATTTATTCCACTCTCTCTAGCTAGTTCTATCATAATTTCCATCTCCTTTGTCCATATTTACAGTCACCTATTTGAACATCTTTTTTTCTCAGCTACTTGGATCTATGTGATTTGTCATTAGCTAGATCTCACTCTTTCACCACTTTGTTTTCGCACAAAGATCACAACTTTTTTCTACTAGCTCTCATATATAGGCTTGTACATCTGCTTGACTTCTGGTGATGATGAAAGATATGAAGATGATGATTCATCAACCCAACAACCTGCAGACAGCTTTGGATAATCAAGAAAACATGTCTAATGTAACCTCCACTGCATCTGGTGAAGCAAGTGTGTCTTCTACCAATGGAGGAGGTGGAGGAGGAGTAGGATTCTATCCCCAACACTATTTTTCCAACAGTACTAATAACAATAACACCATAGCTGCTCAAACTCAACCCCAGCAGCAACTCAAGAGGAAAAGAAACCAACCAGGCAACCCAGGTAATACTTAAATGCCAATCATCTTATTATCTCAAAGATTCAATCTTTCTTCAAGAGTTATATGTTTATTTTACTTTTCTGAGTTGATGATCTGATGGGGGGTTCTTTGTTTAAATTTTGGGGAAACAATTGAAGACCCGGATGCAGAAGTGGTAGCTATGTCACCAAAGAGCCTGATGGCAACAAACAGATTTGTATGTGAAATATGCAACAAAGGGTTTCAGAGGGACCAGAATCTGCAGCTTCACAGGAGAGGGCACAATCTTCCATGGAAGCTGAAGCAAAGAAGCAGCAAAGATATTGTGAGGAAGAAAGTGTATGTCTGCCCAGAAACTAGCTGTGTCCACCATGACCCTTCTCGTGCCCTCGGGGACCTCACTGGTATCAAAAAGCACTTTTCCAGAAAACATGGCGAGAAAAAGTGGAAATGTCCTAAATGTTCTAAACGATATGCTGTTCAATCTGATTGCAAAGCTCACTCTAAAACCTGTGGAACAAGAGAGTATAGATGCGATTGTGGAACCCTTTTTTCAAGGTATGTATTTTTGAATTGTATTGGATCTATATAAATAAATGCTTCAGTTTCTTGAAAGATTTCATTTTTATGTCATTTAAATTTCAGGAGGGATAGTTTTATCACACATAGAGCTTTCTGTGACGCATTGGCAGAAGAGAGTACTAGAGCCGCCATCGCCGGGAATCACCTTTACCAGCCGCCGCCGCCGGCCGATTTCAGCACAAACCACCACGACCTACCGGCAGCTATGGCGTCGTACGCGATAAAGAAAGAACAGCCCGGCGTGTACAGCGGCAGCCCCGGTTTCAACCTCCGCCCAGAGATCCCACCGTGGCTACTGCCATGTCCGGCCGGTCCTCCGCCGGAAATCCCACCCTTTTTTCAAGATTTCCAAAACCCTAACGCCGGCGGGCCCGCGTTTCCGGACTTCCAGCCCACGGCAATCGGGTCGGCGCACTTCTCAGCGACCGCGCTGCTGCAGACGGCAGCGCAGATGGGTGCGACCATAGCCGGCTCGTGGATGGGGCCCGCGCTCGTGGAAGGTGGGGCCCACGCGGATCACGTGTCTACTGACCAGCTGCGGCAGAGCAGCCTGCTGCCTGATCATTTCGGTCTGAATTTGTCTTCACGCAGAACCGCCGAGGAGCTTTCAGTCAATGGCTGGGGCAGAGTTAGCGTGCCCGCAGGCGCACCCTCCGCTACCAGTGCACCCTCAGGCTCAGGCTCTTTCTTTCAAGACGTGATGAACTGTTTCTCGTCCTCTGACAATAATAACAACACCCCGGCTTTTCAAGATCCGGTGGGGTTCGGCGGCCGAGGCGGCGGTGCTGGTTTCTTGATGGGTAACAGCCCCAAGAAAGAGGGCGGCGGCGGCGGCGGAGATGGCTCCGGAGACGAAGTAACGAAGGATTTCTTGGGTCTCAGACCACTGTCACGTAGTGATATATTCAGCACAACTGATCTAGTAGTTAATACTTCGAGTGATCATCATCATCGTGATCATGATCATGATCATGGTCTTGGTCAAAGTCAAAGGCCATGGCAGCAAACATAATTGCTAGCTAAGCTCTTCTACTTAATTATAAACAGTATTTGATTTGATTAATTAATTAATTAATTACCCAAGATGCACATGAACATAAGTTGTCTTAAATTCCTGTCTTTGTCTCCTCCCTCTTTGATTTGGTATTATGATCGAAACCCTCGTACGTTTATGTGTCAGCAACCCAACTTGCATGCTGTCAGTGGAATATACAACTAAATTTAATCATTATTCCTATATTTATTACGGAGTAATTATTAAAATTAAATTAGATACCTATGTTGTTTTGTCGGAATGCTTGTTTTTTTGGTGAATAGAAAACCCTAACTTTAATTTTTTGTTGTTCCAGAATTGCATTTACTTTATTCGTTGCCAGCTGTGTGTGACAGTGATATTCCTATACAATTGGTATATACGGAGTATCAACCAAAATCTGCAAGCTGAATATTTCTCTTTTTGAAATTCATATATAGGACATGGACATCTATTTTAATTTCAGAAAATAATTTGCCTTTGTCGGAGAGAATGATAAAGAAATCAACCGTTTGGATGTCTCTTGATCAGTTGATCGCATATTTTTATCCTCCAAAAGGTCGAATCCTCACCTGCCTCACACCCTCACTCGACAAGACACTCACTCGACAAGACATTGAGAAGGTTGTAACACCGTGTATGCATTAGAGGTCCAATCTAACACATATGATCTGTAACCTTCACACAGTCTCTGCGAGTTTCGTTCATTCATCAATCATCTAACTTCTCCACTACTCGACCAACTAAACTAAATCATAGAGATTGAAGTATAACCAACTATGTGGAGTTTTTTTTCAAATATAACCAATAAAAAATTTATGGACAAAAATGTCACTATAAGTTACTATCTTCTTTCTCTTTTAATTTGCAACATTGAACATTTTGCAATTATAAGAAGTAAGGTTGAAGTTAATTTTATGCCTGCATTGGCTGAAGTTTTTGTAGACGACCATTTGGTTGTTTTTTCCTATATATATATTTTTTATTTTATAAATCAAATTTATTTAAATACTCCAGCACTATAAGTTACAACCTTCGTTCTCTTTTAATTGCAATGACCATTTGAAGTATAATTTTTTCATAAACCAGCACAATCAATTAATCATGTCACTTCAATCAGAACTTCATAAATTTTAGCAAAATTAATCAAAACAGTGATACTAGATTTTATGAATTACCAAACGGGCAATTTATGAATTACCAAACGGGCCATTTATGAATTACCAAACGGGCACGTACTTCAGCAGAATGTTTCAATTGAGGGATACTAGATTTTGAATTTTGGTACTTCTTCACCAGCAACTAAACCGCAATAAACTAAATTGCTACATAGAACACTTGATTTACCTCTCTCATTCAAACTCACCACCTTATTAAACTTACTAATTAGCTAGGAAAAAAATGTTTTGCACTCATACTTCCTCCATCCCACAATGAACTTCACAGTTTGACCTACACACATATTAAGAAAATAAACTTACCATGGGGTAAATTTTACCGTTTTGACACTATTTGACACTGTTTTGCACTGTTTCGACACTCTTTGGCACGGTTTTGCACTGTTTGACACTGTTTTGATGTAGATTAATTTGTCATTTAAGGAAATGAGAACTTGTTTTTGGGACATCCAAAAAAGGAAAGTGAGAAGTTCATTGCGGGACGGAGGGACTACATTTTAGTGACATATGACATGCTCGATCGCTCTGTGCTTCAAAATTTGCTACAATAGGCTCTGACACATTATTTAAGCAGGAAAGAAGTATGTGTAATGAATAGTGTTAGAAAAAGTAAAAGAAAGTGTAAAACTATTAAATAAAAGATAGATAAATCCCAAAAAGAAAAGTGCAGTGTAACAAAGCTTAAAATAAAGAGCGAGTAGTATTAACTATTAACAACGTAGATATGACATTAACTACTCCCTCCGTCCCTTAAAACTTTGCAATCTATCCTTTTTGAGACATCTCAAAAAACTTTGCCACTTTTCCTTTTAATCAATTATTTTGTGGTTTCTATTATTTCTTACTCCTCTGCACAAATCTCGACCACACAGTGTTTACTTTATTATTCTCCGTGTCGATCAACTTTGGCAAAGTTTTAAGGGACGGTAGTAGTATTAAAGAGATGATAGATAAGCATCAATACACAATAACACATAAAAAATGATACTCCCTCCGTCCTGGATAGAACTTGACATTTGTTTTTGGTACAGTATTTTAGGAGCACAATTAATAGAAGAACAAATCTCTTGCATGCCCTTTGACTTTTGTGTAATTTGCATGCACTTATATGTATAGATTCGAATATTAGCATACACATACTTTATTACGAGACACAAATTTATGATAATCTATAATCACTTGTATATATGGATTCTCTGTTCAATTTGTTATTTCAAGCATGTACCTAATGTGATTTTCAATATTAATCACTACTACATTTTTGGGTCTTTTGTAACAGCAGAATTCATGACCTTTGATCCAAAAAACCGTTACATGTGACTTATTGTAACAGTTTCCCGTTGTTACATCTGCTCCCGTTGCATTTGCTCTAACGTAACAGCTTGTAACGAAATTTACGACCAATTGTAATTGTCTTCACATAACATACCACAAATGTTACAACAGATTGAGCACAAATGTAACGGTTCTAAATTGCGTAGTAGTGATGCATTTGCTCTAGATTTTGTTACTTTCTCTAATGTAACAGTTTGTAATACAAATACACACAATTATTTATTTATTTATTTATTTAACTAGATGGTAAATAACTGAAATAAGTAAGATAAATATTGAATGTCATATACCAAGTTTTTATTCAATATAAGGCATGATACAATAAAAATTGGGGGGCATATACCTTACCTCTAAAAAATTAAACACTATACATGTGGGGTACTCCAAAAAATCTAAAATTAAAACACCTCTCACATTTGAGGGTAAACTAGCAATATTAAAATAAATACTAAAGTCACTAATTTCAGAATTGGTCTTGGCTAAAGACAGAACACTTCACTTAGGTCATACCCTTCCAAGGCAGATGAGAAAGCTTTTGAATGTCTTCAATCTTGGAATAGAGCTTACTAGGAGCCATAGCGGAGATTAGTAGCCCGATGAAATCAAGAAAATCACACTTGACCTTAAATGGAATGTATTTGAGTTAACAACTCTCATGGCAGTGATCTTATAATAAAAATATTTGGAAAATGTAAATACGTATTTAGATTTGAAAAACAATGATGTACTCTTGTAACAATGCAGTAATCTAATTAATGTCTACTTATTTCAAGACTACTTATTGATCTTATTTATGATAGATCAAAAGAATTGGAATTTCTAATAAAATTTATAATCTAAATGGTTTAAACTAGCAGTACTAGTATACTACAATTTCAAATTTTATAATCAACAAAATCTGTTAATATCCAACAGGAAAAGGTCTGAGGAACAACACCCCCGCTCAAAATATCTCACACTTTATCTGTGAGCCCTAACACATTCTGCCATTCCTATTGTCGAGTATACATATACACATGTATATACTGAGTATTTCAATAGTAAATATGACAGCCTGTTCAAACCAGCTACATCGAGTAATATTTTGTGATAGGTTTCCTCAGTTAAAGATTCTCTGATTTTAGCGGGATCCACCTTTGTACCTGCGTTATTTGTGTGGCCTGAATACTCAATCAATTGGTGTAAATAACACAACAGTGAAATTTCAAAAAAATGCAGTCAAACTGAATGTAAATTCATCAACCTAAGAAGCAAGATTAACATATCTCTGCAGTTAAACATAGACTATACTGAATGCTAAAAATAAAAACAAATGATATAGAACAAAAGAAAGAAATTGGAAGTATTTGAAAATGGTGTCTTTATAGTGATATAATACCTCTTGAATGCTCATACAATTTGATAAATTCCACATGTCTTTATATATAGTGTCTTTTAACACACACCAAATTCCTCAACTGAAATCCGAGTAATCTAGAACATATCAGCCTCCCCAGACCCTTCTACCAAGTGGCTCAGTAGGACATGGTGGATATGTTGGTTTGGTTATTCAAATTCATGTGTCTACCAATAGAAGGGATCTTTAGCTGGCTGCATACTAATATCAAGAAGTTCCTAGCTCTCCAAATAATTAATAGGGTTGTAGAACATAAAACACAAAGTATTTAACCCACATTAACTCGATCCATAACTCCAAGTTCTAGATTACTCTGACATGAAGGATTGTAGTTCAATGAGAGTATAGCATGTCAGTATGCGAGAAAAAGATTTGATAGGTTGGCAATTCAACAAATACCATTTCCTATTCTGATATAAATATAAAAATATAAAATGGAAAAACGAAATCATTATTTCTTATAGAAATACCTTGTGTGCTAGTGTGAAATAAAACAACTATCATAGTAACAATCGTAGTAAAATATGAACTAATAATTAAACTATTTCTTGAGGACTTAACTAGGTGAAGAAACACAAAAATAGTATGCAGTATGTTAACATTTACCACATATGTAGTAGAAACTTAGCTCATTGTCAAATCCCCAAATGAGGAAAAGCCAAGACTTTTGATACACGTCAGTCAGATATACCAGGTAGGCCGAAATATTAATCACCTATAATTGGATAGTGATGAGAGATGGAGACTGAATCAATAGAAGAATATCTCGAGTAACAAAGAACCACACCTTTAGAGTCCTCCATCTCCTATAGCAATACCATGGAGTCATGGACCCTCAAATGGTAAGGATCCTTTCACATTGGGCAATGTGTAAATGCAAATCCTTCCTACAAAAAAACAAAAAATGAGAACATTTTATATTGTATTCATAATTAGTATTTATTCACTCTGATCTCAAGATGTGAACATTCTCTTACATATAATCAATAGAAATACACTATGAACTACGTTTTGCCTTCATTCAGCACATCAAAGAGATAATTGAACTCTCATATAGAAGAACTGGATGTAGGAACTAGAAGAAACACAATTACTGATGCTATTACGGAGCAAGAGATGAATTCAAGGATAACCTTAATTCACATCATACCAATGATATAAGCAGTCCCGGTGAACATGTTTTTAAGTACCTTTACACCTACAAGGTGAAAAAAAATATCTACCTGAAAAGGGAAAAGTAATATTATTCTATCACGTACAAAT